TCTCCTGTCTTGGGTTTTTAGTCAGTAGTGGGTATCTTTCTTTATCCCATAAATGTAGTCCCCCTTCCCATTTTCTGTTGTAGTTTGTAGTGTTATTAAAAAATGCAATAAAAAATCCCCTCCGGGGAATTAAAACAAAAAAACCCAAAAAAAAAACCAGTCCAGTGGCACATTTAAGACCATGTTTTATTCAGGTACAAGCTCTCCCTCCTCTGCGAGGACAGATCTGCACGTCCCCCCCCCCAATAGCTAGCAATCCAAAACAGTCCAGTGGAGCCTGAGCGGTGGGTGTTGCCTTCTGACACACTTCGTGTGATGCCAGGGGGTGTGGCATATGCAAATAAGTTATGCTGATGAGTTGCGCTAATGAGCTCCTGTTCCTCTTTTTCTACGAAATGACCCCTGCACGCACGGCACAACGAAACAACACCATAGCTAGCAATCCAAAAGAGTCCAATGGCACCTTTAAGACCAAGACTTATTCAGGTAAAAGCTCTCCCTCCTCTGTGAGGGCAGAATAGCTAGCAATTCAAAAGAGTCCAGTGGCACCTTTAAGACCAAGGTAAGAGCACTTCAGTTCTTGCTGCGATTCTTATGCAAAATAACACAGAGAAAGATACTCACCGTCATAGTCAATCTTGCCGTCATTATTTTTGTCTCCATCCTTCATCAGTTCTTCAATGTCATCTTCAGTGATGGTTTCTCCTGTAGCCTGCAACATGAGCTTTAGTTCATCCAGGTCTATGTATCCATCTGCATTTCTGTGAAATAGTTCATGTGCTCAGAAAAGGAAGTAGTCTATCTACAAATATTTACTCAGACTGGGTAATTTTCACCAGGGGTGGTATTAAGAGTCTCTTCAAACAATACCTCCCTAATGCACTGCAAAAATAAGGAGATATCACTTGCCATTAATCTTTATAAATCAAAGGAAATAATTTTGTGTGGGGGGGTTGTGTGGCTTGCAATTTACAAAGGGAATAGGTTGAAAGCAAATGAGTTTCAAATTTGCAGGACAAACAAATTAGGGTTGCCAAGTCGCTCGGACTCACCGGTGGGGGAACGTCGCTTGGGTCCGGGAGCTGCTGATGGACGAGCGCACCGCCAGAACGTCACAGGAAGTGACGCACGACGTAGAGCACGTTGGGGGCGTGGCCCCAATCATTGGAGGGAAAACCATAGAGTTTTCCCTCCAACGACTGGGGCCACACCCCCAACGTGATCTACGTGCTTGCGTCACTTCCTGTGACT